CCTACATTTAAAAAAAAAAATTCAAGTAGATGAAACTCCATGTGTTACAGAGCAGAATGCTCCACAGAGATTTCTTGGCTGCAATCTTTCCACAAGCAGCTCTCAGGCCTTTCCCCTGAAGTACTGCTGGATGGGTTTGAACCATCAACCTTTAGGTTGGTTGTTGTTAGGTACTGTCGGGTCAGCTCTGACTCACAGAGACCCCGTATAACACAGAATGAAACACTGCCCATTGTTGCAGCCACTGTGTCAGTCCATCATGTTAAGGATCTTCCCCTGTAATGCTGACTCCCCACCTTACCAAGCATGATAATCCTTCTCGAGAGACTGGTCCCTTCTGACACAACATGACCAACGTAAGTGAGACAAAGTCTGGCCATTCCCACTTCCAAGGAGCATTCCAGCTGCACCTCCAGGACAGAGCTGTTCATTCTTCTGGCAGTCCACGGCATTTTCAGTATTCTTCATCAACACCACAATTCAAATGCATCAGTTCTTCTTCACTCTTCTTTATTCATTGTCCAGCTTTCACATGCATGTGAGGTGATTGAAAATAGCATGGCTTGGGTCAGGCGCACCTTAGTCCTCAAAGTATTATCTTTGCTTTTTAATATTTTAAAGAGGTCTTTTGCAGCAGATCTGACCAGTACAATACATCATCTGATTTCTTGACTGCTGCTTCCTTTGGTGTTGATTGTGGATCCAAGTAAAATAAAATCTCTGACAACTTCAGTCTTTTCTCCATTTATTATGATGTTGCTTATTGGTCCAGTTGTGAGGATTTTTGTTTTCTTTATCTAGAGGTATAATACATAAATACATAAGTGCTTCAAGTCATCTTCACTTTCAGCAAGCAAGGTTGCTTAGGTTAGTAAAAACCCACTGTTATTGAGTTGATTCTGACTCATAGCAACCCCTATCAGGTTTTCAATGCTGTCAGTCTTTACGGAAGCAGATAGCCTCATCTTTCTCCCGTGGAGCAGCTGGTGGGTTTGAACCGCTGACCTTTTGCTTAGCAGTCAGGTGCTTTTACCAAAAGCCTACATTACAAGGGTGATAATGCCCCCTGTTTGAATTAGAACACATACAGTGGCAACCAAATGGCCAAAAAAAAAAAAAAAAAAAAGGCTGGCACCCTTTAAAGAGAGCAGAAGCACTAAGTCAGTATGCTTTCCCCCCTTATGCTGAGCATCCTCCTCAACTCTGTCTTTCCAGCTGTCTCTATTTTAAAAAATTCATATGCTCAATAATAGGCAATTTTCTTACAAAGATTGCAAGCATGCAAACTATTGAGTTGATTCGTTCCGGTTTTCATGTGTCTCTCCAAACCGTATGAATAGCAGTACTTCATGAAAGCAGGGCTCTGGAATTCACACTTTAACATTATTAACAGTTTGTGTGTGTTATTACATCACTCACAATAGTCATCTATTCCCCTAAAAAAAAACACCGAGTCTTATTTGTCTAGCCTTATAAAACGTAGATATTCATGGGCCTCAAAGAATTCCAAGAGAGGATAACTCGTGTGATGTGTATGCTAACATGTGTATGCTGCAAAGGCAGGGTAAGCTAGAATGGGTTTCCGGTGCACCCTTCACTCTAAACATGCAGACCAATGAGCATCTTTCTCCTGATGAGAGGTTCCCACCTTCCCCCTGA